TAAAACCAGAACTCTTGTTTTAGAAGTGTGGAACTGAGGCTAGTGTTATGTTATAATGGGTAAAATTGCTGCCTGTACTACCAGCATCCCATATAGATCCTGATTCATGTCCCAGCTGCTCTATTTTCGATCCTGCTCTCTGCTAATGGCCTGGGAAGGGCAGCGGAAGATGGTCCAAGTGCTTGGACCCTGGACACCCATGTGGAACATCTGGAAGAAGCGCTTGGCTCCTGGCTTCAGCACAGCCCAGTATTGAATGTTGCTTCTATCTGGATAGTAAACCAGTAGATAGAAGCTCTCTCTCTCTTTCTCTCCCTCTCTCTGTAACTCTTTCAAATAAATCAATAAATCTTTAAAAGAAAGAAGAGTGGAAGATTAAGTTGAAATTAAATAAAAGTCTTCTCTGAACCCCTTATCATTTACAGAGTTCTCATTAAATTATAATACAGCACCCTATACAGCACTCCATAATAATTAAAATTATGGACTATGATACATATGTTTATTATCTAAGTAGGTTTCTTTGTGATTTTTTTTTTGGCTGGGCAAGGAAGTTATCTTAGAACTTAGTTTTACTGAGGTCACAGTGAGCTGTTAACCTGGAAAACATCAATATACTTGGTAACACAATTGTAACATTTATATTCATTGTACAGCATGCTCCTAATTACAATCTTGAACATTTTTATCTATTCCAAAAAAATTTGTCTTATCTCCCTAAATCATCATCATCATCATCATCATCATCTTAATGGCAGAATGGTACATATACTTTAGGATATGTCTATTACATATGAAAGTATTTCAAAACTATATAACACCAACCTAGACTTCTCAACCAGACTCTATCAGTTTCACATTTCTTATCTAAGAAAGGGGAAAATATTATATCTGCATTACAGGATTGTTAGGATGAAAATAAGATATTCGATGTGAAGTATCAGCATAGTTAAGTGCCAATATATAGATGGGCTCAATAATTGTGAATTTCTACCAATGTTTAATCAAACAATAAAATTTCAATGATAGTGCTTTCCCGAAAAACAATAAAAATTGAGATCAAAAAAAGCAGACACACACACAGGCCTCTGAAAGTTAAGGTCCTATTAAAATCTGTTGATTTTACTTTAGGTTATTATGGCTTATGTAGTTTAAAGCAAACAGGAATATGAGTATGAATCAAAAAACTAAAATAAATGACAAAACATATACACGATGAGCCCTATTTAGCAGCACTGAATCTTGAACTGCATACTTTATTACTTCTCAAATTACAGTCTTCCTTCAAGGCAGCAAAAAAGGTCAATTATATTAGCTCAAAAGCTGAAGTATATTAGAGCCGAGAGCATCACTGAGTCAAAAAATAGTTATTATTATTATTTTTTTTTTGACAGGCAGAGTGGACAGAGAGAGAGAGAGACAGAGACAGAGAGAAAGGTCTTCCTTTTGCCGTTGGTTCACCCTCCAATGGCCGCCGCAGCCGGCGCGCTGCGGCCAGCACATTGCGCTTATCTGAAGCCAGGAGCCAGGTGCTTCTCCTGGTCTCCCATGGGGTGCAGGGCCCAAGCACTTGGGCCATCCTCCACTGCACTCCCTTGCCACAGCAGAGAGCTGGCCTGGAAGAGGGGCAACCGGGACAGAATCTGGCGCCCTGACCGGGACTAGAACCCAGTGTGCTGGCACTGCTAGGCGGAGGATTAGCCTATTGAGCCGCGGTGCTGGCCAAGATAGTTATAGAGTGGATTTTTGTGTTAAAAATCAAGACTTAAATTCTTTCAGATTTAATATTAATTTAATAACAGGGAAATAAAAATATTTAGTATTCAATCTCTATAGTTAGGAAGTTATAAGTCTATTGAGGGAGACCACATGGCTATAAAACAATGATATATCATAGGTCATTTCAATAAAGGTAATAACAACAAAATATAAGGAATTGGGGTTAGAAAATATAGCTAAGTAAGGGAATATTACAGAAAGAGGAGACCTTTTGAACTTGGCTATAAATAGGGTGGGGCATACTTTTCTATTTGCCTAAGTATATGTCATCATATTGTAGCCAGGGCAAGCTTTTTAAAACATAAATCAGGTTGCATTATTCTTCTGTTTATAACTCTTCATTGCTTTTTATGACACTTAGGATAAATCAGAAATGCTTGACATGATATAAAAGACTATTATATGGTTCACATGTCATTTTCTAGCTGCATTTCAAGCCACTATCTCCATTGTTCACTAAGCTCCTTTCTGTTTACTAATTTTTAAGGTGAGAGTCTTTGTAACATTTCTCTGTTGAATGGTTTACAATCTGGTGATCCCTGATTCTTCTTTTCAGCTCTTAGTCTAAACAGAGTATGTTGAAAGAAGCCTACCCTAATTGTCCAATCTAAAATAAATCTCCTCTTTTATACATACTCCTTCAAATATCTTGTACTTTTCTTTCCTAGTATTTGTCACAGTTTGTATTTATATTTTTCATGTCTATGTTTATTTATCTATCAGTAGTCTCTTCTACTAGAATACAGACTTCAGTAGGATAGAGAGCAAGTCTGCTCACTGCTATGCTAGCACAAGTAGGAGTTCAAGAGTTATCTGCTGATGAAGAAAATCGATGAATTATAGCTACATATTGCTAGTTAAAGGATAATTAAATGGCATAGAAATTCTTTTAAAATTTTTTTTGAGAGGAGTGGACCTAGTTAAAAATATACAAATACTGACTGGACATCTATTATGTACCAGACATTATGTTATGCATTTTCACAAAACACTTTATTTCGCCATTTATCTTTTTCATTTATTTATTTTTTATTTGACAGGTAGAGTTGTAGACAGAGAGGACAGAATTGGTTCAGGGACAACAGAGGATAGTTGGTTCACTCCCTGAATGGCCGCCTCGGCTGGCGCTACACCCATCCAAAGCCAAGAGCTAGGTGACTCTCCCTGGTCTCTCATGTGGGTGCAGGGGCCCAAGCGCTTGGGCCATCCTCCATTGCCCTCCTGGGCCACAGCAGAGAGCTGGAATGGAAGAGGAGCAACCGGGACTAGAACCCAGTGCCCATATGGGATGCCAGCGCTGCAGGCAGAGGATTAACCAAGTGAGCCATGGCGCCGGCCCCTATTATGCCATTTAAATAGGAACTATTCAACCCTTTTCCTAGATGAGTAAATTTGATCATCAGAGTAATGAAGTCATTTGTTCAAGACTGCATAGCTAATAAACCATACATTTAAGAAAGAGATTTCAATAATAATCATTAAGTTATTTTTATCAAAGATTATTTTTATCAAGATTAGTTTTAATGTTATCTTGGTGGTGCAGGAGGTTAATCTACTGCTTACCATGCTGGCCAACCATACCAGAGTGCTGGTTCCAGTCCTGGCTGCTCTGTTTCTAATCTAGCTTCCTGCTAATGCGCTTGGCAAAGTAGTAGATAATGGCTCAAGTACTTGATCCCCTGCCACTCATGTGGGCAATCCATGATGGAGTTCCTGGCTTTGGCCTGTCCCAGCCCTGGCTGTTGTGGGCACTGGGGGAGTGAACCAGTAGAGGGCAGCTGTCTCCCAATCTACCTATCATTCTGCCTTTTCTAATAAATAAATATATACTCAAAATATATGAACACATTGTATCAAAGAGATATCTACACCACCATGTTTATATCAGCACCATTCACAATAGCCAAAATATGGAATGAATCAAGGTGTCCATCATCAGATGAATGGATAAAGAAAATGTGATACATACATACACACACACACACACACACTAATGGAATATTTTTCAGACACAAAAAGAATAAAATTCTGTCATTTGCAGCAAAATGGATGGAACTGATGGATATCATGTTAAGTGAAATAAAAGACAAATACCATAAATTCAGTCTGAAAACAAAATGGTGATTACTGCAGGCTGGGAGCATTGGTAGGGATAGAGGGAGTTTGGATTAAAAAATACAGGAAGATGAGTGTGGCTTACAAACACACTAAGATGAGATGTTAACAATAGGGGAATCTGGGTGTGAGGCATATGGCAACTCTTTGTACTACTTTACAAATTTTGTTTTATAAATTTAAAGCTATTCTGAGTTAAACATCTTTAAAATGATATAATTTTAACTTAAATGCAAACATAATAACATTTTGTTAAATCTATCTTATACTTATTATCCAAGGATACATAATCAAACACTATCCTGGTCATATTCTAGATGAACTGCTTTAACCAACAGATTTATTTCTGGCAAAATTCTTAGTAGTGTTCTGTCTATATTTAAGCAACCCTCAAACTTTGACACACAGAGGTTTAATAAAAACTTTAATAGGTTTTGTTTTCTTCAATAAAATGAGTAAATAAAAATGAAGAACATAAAACAATCTAAATAGAAATTTCCTACTTCAATACTAGTTTTTGAGAAAGAAAACTTCATTTGCAGAGGAAAAAAATCAATTTTATGCCCACAAAACTTTAGTAAAACATTTGTAATTCAAAGCAACCAATTTTGATTTTATTTTTTATAATATCATAAATACTTCAATTTGAGATGAAAATTTCTCCTAAGTCTGAATAAAAAAACTACAGAAGAAAACATAAAAAGAACATACTCCACAGTAAATGCTTATATTATTGCTTATATCTTAGAAAATTTAAGAATAATACAAATTTAACAAGTAGAAAGAGTTGGCCCTGAAAGATGAAAAGAGTCACTTCTTATACTTAACATTCATGATAGTTATGACATAATAGTCTAGAATATTTGCCTAAAAATTTTTGTATTATTTTTTGTATTACTATAAGTTAGAAATAACTTCCATTGGATCTACTATAAAACATTCAGATTTTACTCCAAGTCATTCTCATGAAGACTGTAACCATTACATTTAAAATTTTTTATATTTTATATCAAATTTTATAAAGTTTTAAACTTATACTCACAGTTTTACTTCTGAATATAATTAACCTATGAGTTATTATTTGTTTCTAATTTATTACAACTCACCTATGAGAAACTGCTCCCCAAGCACCGTGTTTATTTGTGAGAATGTTGAGAATCTTCTGTTTCAGCTGATTTGCTGTTACATGATCTCGGTGTTTAGCAGCACTGATGAGATGGTCACACATCTTTTCCTCCTCTCTCCTATCAGCAGCATACTGGGCACACTGCGACTACAAAGAAATACAAACAATGCATAATAATGAATTTAATGATGAACTTTTTTTTCTTAGTGTGTATAATAATGGTATCTAGCCTTAAAGAGTAATAGTAATAATGCAATTTTCAAAACTGAGACATTTTAATTTCCTGATAATCTAGTCTAAAGAATACATAGTCACCTTTCAAACTGGTAAAAGTGCTCTTTAAAAAGTACATGTACAATTATTTGGATAACGTTAAGTAAAGTAATGAAGTACTTTTATGATTCCTACCAATTCTGGAAATTTGACTTTAATGTATTCCAAAAAAGTAATTATAAAAACACAAATGGTTCACTAAATATGTAAATCTACTTATATTAACCAATGTCTCATTTAAAATAAGAGGTATGTTTCTGACAAGTACATACAAAACAAAAACATTTAATTTAGTCTTCCATTACGTGAATGGCAATGTGGCATAGAAGAAAAAGAGAAGAAAAAGTGGTCATTTATGAATTTAAAAGACCCAGATTTTAATTCATACTTTCTTTTTTTGGAAAGGTAGAGTTATAGAGAGAAAGAGAGACAAAGAGAGAGAAATATTTAGATATTTAGATAGATAGATAGATAGATAGATAGGGAGAGATATTCCATCCGCTGGTTAACTCCCCAAATGGCTGCAATGGCTGGGGCTGGAGCAGGCTGAAGCTAGGAGCATGGGGCCTCTTTTGGGTCTCCCACATGGGTGCAGGGGTCCAAGCACTTGGGCCATCTTCCACTGCTTTCCTATGCTCATTGGCAAGGAGCTGGATCAGATGTGGAGCAGCTGAGTCTCAAACCAGAGCCCATATGTGATGTCGGCATCACAAGCAAAGACTAAACCTGCTAGGCTATAAGGCTGGCCCCCAATTCATACTTTATGTAAGCTCCATTTTCTTCATTGTTCTCAGTTTCATAAATGTAAAATGAGGATCCTAGACAAGGTTTTCTTGATGATACCTCCCAACTCTAAAATTCAATGTGTTCAAAGGATCTCATGAGAATACTCCCTGATTCTTGTTTTCTCTTTCTCAATGACAGCCAGTTTGTCATGTTAGCTAACTGTACTCACGCTCTCTGGTGTTAGCAACACAACTAATCAGTGCATCTCTTCACGTATCAAAAAGGGTCATTATGAACACGAAAAGGACATGTCTAATTTTTTTACAAAAGGATTTGTTTGTTTATTTGAAAGGCAAAGTGACAAAGAGAGAAAGGGGTTGTTGGAGAGAGCTTTTCCATCTGCTGGTTCAATCCCAGTCTGGTCTGGGCCAGGCCAAGACCAGGAGCCAGGAACTCCATCCTGGTCTCCCACATGGGTGGCAGGATTCCAGGTAGTTGGGGCATCTTCTGCTTCCTTCCAAGGCACAGTAGCAGGAGCTGGACTGGAAGTGGAACAGATAGGACTGGAACCTGCACTCTGATATGGGACACTGGTATCACAAGTGGCTATCCTGCTGTGCCACAATGCTGGCTCCTCATCTCCTTTATCTTAAGTTGGGGGTCTTTTTGTATGTATAGTAATTTCTATGCAGATTGGCCTGACTGTAAACTTTTACATGCGCAAGTTTGTTATATAAGTCATATAAATAGAAGAAAAAGTCTCATACATTTAAGAAAATACATATTACTCATTCTCATTCACCACTACAATAAAAAATCTATTTTATCTATTTTATGGAAGGCATTTGACTGTATTTCCTCTATCTCTTGATATATATATTACTGCTACAAGTCTTCTTGTCTGGAGAAGTAACCCTACAGTAATCTAAGAAGGATTAATTCATTTTCCAATTAATCTTTTTGTACAGGGAATCACCAATTAGTACAATGATCTGCCTCAGTAATGAGGTTAATATTTCATTAGCTCATTGGAGAGTAAAATTAAATTTTCATTTTTCTTCTTTAACAATTAGTTAGCTAAAAAAACCTTAATTGTGAAGTATCCATTTCAAATTAAATATACCTTTTCCCTTAATTACAGGTTTATGTATAGGAGAGAGAAATTCATCAAAAAGTCTTAGTAAGGGACTGGTGGTGTAGCTTAGTGGGTAAAGTCACTGCCTGCAATAGAAGCATCCTGTATGGGAGCTGGTTTGTGTCCTGGATGCTCCACTTCTGATGCAGCTCTCAGTTAATGGCATGGGAAAAGCAGCAGAGGATGGCCCAAGTGTTTGGGCCCCTGATACCCACATGGGAGACGCAGATAAGCTGCTGACTTTGGCCTGGCCTACCATTGGCTGTTGTGGCCATCTGGGCAGTAAACCAGTAGGCTGAAGATCTCTCTCTCTCTCTCTCTCTCTCTCTCTCTCTCTGTTTCCCTCTGTCTCTGCAACTCTGACTTTCAAAATAAATAAAATAAATCTTTTTTATTTTAAAAGAAGTCAGTAAAATGTCATGACTTGTGTGAAATCTTTTACAATTTAAAAGTGATGTGTAACTTGGGAAGAAATTTTTCTTATTACCCTCTGTCCTGAAAGAGAAGGAGGAAGATGAGGGGAAGGAGAAACCTGGACCCCTTTACTACCTTATTAAACTGCCGCCTCACAATGAAAAAAATAAAAAAAGTGATGTGTTTGGTAAACCACACACACACACACACACACATCATCATCATCATCATCAATGTATTTACTAATACTTGTCTAGCTCTATCTTAAAAAGAACAAATGTAATTATTTGGGCCAAACATGTACAACCATAAGTATTTACTCTTACAGTTTGATTTACATTAATATTATATATTTTGTATATTTAATCTAAAACACACTAAGTCTTTATGTTCACTTGAAAATATCTTCCCTAGCTGTACATCTACAATGGGAGTATTTTCATCCCATGGGTAGTAAAATTGGTGTCAGGGTGGTTGTGAAAAAAAATTCCTTTTTTAATATATAAAGCACAGATGTATGTACTCTAGGCAAACAGCTGTGCAGCAATGGAGGTGGTATTAAAATTTCATTGAGGTTGGGGAAAAATTAGGAAAAAAGTGTTGAAAAGACTCCTTGAAGGTGCAACGACAACAAGGAAGTTGAGAAACATTGTCATTGGTTAATTAGGACTTAAAACTTACACTTGATATCCGGCTGTTTGAAAACACATTTTAAATATTTTCACATGACAAATCTTGATCTGCTTATATCTCCACAAAATATCCTGATTTTCTGAGTGGAAATATCATTGTCTCAAAATTGATTCTGCAGGGAATTCAGTTAAGATCCTAAATCTTATTGACTAACAGAAGTTGAAAGTTAATTGAATATTCTTATTTTGTTGAGTTCTGACATTTCTTATACTCAAATATATTTTTCAAAGGACAGATAGCTCAATTTTTTCTTGTCATCCAAATTACTGCAATATATTCTGATTAATATCCAATGTTTTTTGTTGTTAGCAAATCAAAACTTCACTTTGATAAACCGTCAATTGTCACTATATATTTATCAGTTACTATTTCAAAATAAGGTTTCTGCCATTACACAAGGCAAATGTCTGCTGTCTCCTCTGACCAAATGAAGCAGAGGTTACGTGCATGAGAGCCACAACAGCTATTTCCATCCCATGCTTTTTAGCAAGCAAGGTCAGAGATCACTAAACCTAGTCCATCAACTTCTGTGACTCAGAGAGCTGCTTTACTGAGATAAAAACCTCATCAAAACTGGAATTCTGGGCTCTGATTTTGGTCACACCTCACTTGTTAGCTTGTGGCATCAGGAGAATAAACTGGTAGTTACTACTTCCATGCCCACCAAGATTCCAACCTAAGCCAAACACCAGGGCATCCTAATATTTCTTAAATGTTATTTATCTTGTAAATTAAATGGATTGAAATACATGAATAACTTCTATATGTAAAACATTGAAATTAGAATATTTGTTGAATTCTATGTGGGTTTGCTCATAAAACTCTATGATGTACACTTTTGAGTAGTGTATAAACCTCTGCTAGCTTAAAAATCACTAAAGTCATTATATTATAAAATTTTATTTGACTTTACTTTTTTTTTTAAAGATTATTTGAGGGCCGGCATCCCAGCTCACTAGGCTAATCCTCTGCCTGTGGCACCAGTACTCCAGGTTCTAGTCATGGCTAGGGCGCCCGATTCTGTCCCAGTTGCTCCTCTTCCAGTCCAGCTCTCTGCTGTGGCCTGGGAAGGCAGTGGAGGATGGCCCAAGTGCTTGGGCCCTGCACCCGCATGGGAGACCAGGAGGAAGCACCTGGCTCCTGGCTTCATGATCAGCGCAGCGGCCATTTGGGGAGTAAACCAATGGAAAGAAGACCTTTCTCTCTCTCTCTCTCTCTCTCACTGTCTAACTCTTTATTTATTTGAAAGTCAGAGTTACACAGAGAGGAGAGGCAGAGAGGCAGAGAGGCAGAGAGGCAGAGAGGCAGAGAGGCAGAGAGAGAGAGAGAGGTTTCCATCTGAGGGTTCACGCTCCAATTGGCCACAATGGCTGGAGCTGTGCTGATCCGAAGCCAGGAGCCATTTACTTCTTCCGGGTCTCCCACGTGGGTGCAGGGGCCCAAGGACTTGGGCCATCTTCTACTGCTTTCCCAGGCCATAGAAGAGAGAGGGATTGGAAGTGAAAGTGGAGCAGCTGAGTCTCATTCTATATGTGTGTATGACGCACATACAGAATGCCAGTGCTTAAGGCCAGCCCCCAACTTTACTCTTAAAGACAGAACTACTTCTTCAGCCTACCAAGTGGTTAAGCACAGGGCAGGAGGGCTTGCTTCATGTTTTAAATGAGATAGAAATAAACTAAAACTCTGCCATTTTACCAAATCTTTTAAAAAGAGAACCTGAAATGACTTTGATGAGATGTTTTTCTTTAAAAACAAATTCCTATGTAAGGTTACAGATGGGTGATTGCTGGCTTGTAACATACAGCTTAATTTATTCCTCAAACCTTACCTCAAACTCTGCATGTTTATGTACATCTTCAGCTCTTTGTCTGTTCAAAATAAACTCAGCTTCATTTGCCACACGAACTATATGATCCTTCATAGCATGACACAGTAATCTAAAAAGAGAAACAGCGTTGGAATTATTAATAGCATGTTTAGCCCGATTCAGGTAACTGTATAAAGATAGCTGACTCAACAAAATCAAGGACTTTTGTTGGAGTGTTTTAAAATTGTTAACTAACAGAATTCACTGTCTTGGAAATAAATTTACATACATAAGCTGGATGACTACATGTTCGGAAATCCATCATTTGAATTCTTATTTTAATTAATATAGATAATGGGACTAAGTGGCATCTAAAATTTCTTTAATTGTTGACCTTCCAAATTCTAAAATGAACTAGAGTAAAACACAGTTTCCAGAAAAACAACATAGCCATAAAGCTAACACTTTTAAAATTCAATGTTATTTACCTGAGGATTCAAAATGTTATAAAAATGTATAATAAGATAAACAGTGAGACGCCTCTAACAATATCCTCTATTCACCTAATTTGCAGCAACAATAGGTGCTCACTCCGATTAGTTTTTGGAGACTTTTAAAATATCCAAAAATATAAATATATTCACTCCTCTACTTTCTAAGATTAATATATTACACAGATTTTTATACATGTAGTTTTTCTCCTTTAGCAACGTATCTTGGATATTTTTTCACATGTACACACAAGGAGCTGCTTTACATTTGTTTTATAAAATGTGGCAAAAGTGATTTCCCAAAATGGCTGAAATAAAATGCTCTTCTGCAGTGGGGACTTTTTCCCATCAAAACAAGGATTCTTTGCTCACTTAGATCTGGGCCAGACCAGTGACTTCCTGTAAGCAACAGAACATAGCAGAACGGTTGCTGTCTGAGTACTGAGGGTAGGGCACTGCTGCTTTGCTGAGACAAGCCTACATCACATGGAGACTCTCAAAAAAGGGTAAGACAGGGAGTTAGGCCCCTAGGTCTAGGTGAGTTTTCAGGCCAAAGTCAATCTCCCAGGTAACTGCAGACCCAGGCAATTCCACATGGAGTAAAAGAACTGCTTCTCTGAGCCCGGGCAAGGAGAATCAGGTGAGAACAATATGATTGTTGATTTAAGCCACATGATGATCATGATGATGACAATGAGTATAACAGCTAACACAACCAAGTGATTTATGAAGAGCTATATAATAAACCAGGTAATTGTCACATAGTTAATTCCCTCAAGAGTCTTCAAAGCATATATTATTGTTTTCATTAAAAATATATTTGACAGGCAGAGAGAGATACAGGAAGAGAGAGAAGTGGACAGAGAGAAAGAAAGTGAGTGCTCCCATCTGTGAGTTTACGCCCCAAATGTCTGCAACTTTGTGTACGGGGTGGGGGTGCTGAAAAGGGGAGACGAGATGTCACAGCCAGAAGTCAGGAACTCAGTCCAGGTCTTCCACGTGGGTGTCAAGGGCCCAGTTACTACAGCCATCACCACTGCTTCCTTGGGTGTGAATCAGCAGGAAGTTGGATTTAGGAGCTAGAACCAAGAGTTGAACTCACACCAAGGCCGGCGCCGCGGCTCACTAGGCTAATCCTCCGCCTTGCGGCGCTGGCACACCGGGTTCTAGTCCCGGTCGGGGCGCCGGATTCTGTCCTGGTTGCCCCTCTTCCAGGCCAGCTCTCTGCTGTGGCCCGGGAGTGCAGTGGAGGACGGCCCAAGTCCTTGGGCCATGCACCCCATGGGAGACCAGGAGAAGCACCTGGCTCTTGGAGGGTGAACCAACGGCAAAGGAAGACCTTTCTCTCTGTCTCTCTCTCTCACTGTCTACTCTGCCTGTCCAAAAAAAAAAAAAAAAACAAAAAAAACTCACACCAAGGTGGATGACACAGGCATCATAACAGGCACTTTACTTCTAGGCCAAACACCTGCCCCATTTTCATTTTTTATCATAAGAAATCAGGGTTCAGGAAAAGTATCTTGTCCTGGATCATAACTTTTTTAATACTTCTCATAATTTTGTATTTTGCATTATATCTTCACTAACTAATATGTTTTCAAGTATAACTTTTATATTGTGTGCACTTCTGCCATTCACCTTTGCATGGCAATCTAATTCTTTTTATTCTTCAACTGAAACAAATATTAGGCCCTTTTGTATCTTCTTAAATATATGTATATGAGTATATACAAATATAAACATATATGTGTTATACAACAAATATTATTTTATGTTAAAAATCAAGAGATATTTGGAAAGTTAACCTCATATCCTTCTGAGTTTTCCTTAAAAGGCAAGCTTATGAAGTAGTTTCAGATCATTTATGTCCATTTTTAAATTCAGTTCTAATTTTTACTTTTATTCGTTGTCCATTTTTTCCCTTTGAGATTTTAATCAAGATACTAATTTTCAATATTATCATTTTTATCCACTGCTCATTTTTTTCTTGTTCCAGGTGTGATAAATTTCAAACAGAATGGGGTAGAATGAAATTTGTTTTAATTTTTATATGTAGAAATTACAGCTTATATTAATTCCTGCTATATTCTCTACTACAGTATAACTACCTTTGCAAACATGTCTTCTTCAATGATAAACATGTTAAGCAAAAGGAAAAAATAGTATATATCCTTATATTTCTAGATTACTTTTTAAATACAATTTTAAAAAGCTGTATTTGTCTTTCAGGTAAGTCTTACTGTCCTGAATTTATTTGTTCACTCCAATGTATTAATGTTGAATTACACAGCACTAAAATTTTAGTATTTTTCCAGCAAAGTATTTGCAATGTCTACGTGGCATCTTCCACAAAAACTGACAGGTGAATGGCTCTTTTATTTCAGGATAGTAATGTCAGTTCTGGGCAGGAGTGAACTCAAGACAGTTCTCAGTAGAGATCTTTCCACAATCCATGTCTGCCTCTGACACAGATTTAATTACTCCATGATGCGATTTGGATTAAATATCCACCCTGTCACTCTAGGACCAGTGGGAATGGCTCTGGCCATATGACGGAGGCTCCATTAAAACCTTGCACAGCAGCAGGAAAGGTGGTGATATTTCCAAGCAGCATGTGGCAGTAATTTCTCCAATCACTGGAGAGGAAAATAGGAACATTTCAATGGGAATGTTGTGCAGTTTTGAGACCAAAAGTTAACCAAAATGTAAATTATGAAATGAACACGAAGGGTAGAGAAATCAACACTTGGGGAAAACGGTTCAAATTCCTCTGCCAATGGTGTGGAAGGGCAAACACTCATACAGCCAGCCTGTCTTAGTCACTGAGAGGGTTGGGGAAAATAAAAGAGGCAAACAATGCCATAATGTAAACTCATACTATTGACTTTTGATGAAATTACTGGCCTACATTTTTTAGATAGGCTTGAAAAGAGAGATGTGAGATATTGGAGGATTCAATTCAATGTTTTTGTTCATGTATGCTGAAGACTTTCTAAAGAAAGACAGGAAGAAATCTAATATGTGCAAATTAGTGCAGATTATGAAACTTAAATAGATTAACAGGAGACACAGCAGGAAGGGAAAGGCTCATGGTCTGCCTGGTTAATAGGCATCATTCCCAGGAGCAAAGCCTGGGACTGGCAAAATAAAGAGACAAGGGGTGGGGGTGGGGTGGGTGGGGGTGGTGTTAGGCTCTATATAAGGAATGACTCTTGGCTGAGAAATTGTGTCAATTATCTGTAAGTCTGTCTTCCTATCTCTTGCATTTAGGAGTTACACATCAACTAATCTATGTTGTTTTATTTACCCTAAGGAGAAGGTATCTTCCTGACTCTCACCTTCATTCTGGGTGACCACATGAAAAACTACTCGTGACAGTAGCTCAAGATTCCTTGACCTTTTTAATTCCAGTGATCTTGAATTCCATCTTACTTCAGGAAATACCTCTATTGGCTGTAAGTGACAGCACTTTTCATCTTTAAGCTTCAAGAGCCTACTCTTTGATCACACCCTCCTACCCTTCCAACTTTCTCCCTTTCACTAATCTGACCACCTGCACCAAGATAAATAAACTGTTGACTTCTTCTAACCTTAAGTTCTTCCATTCCTTTGTTTTTCTACTAGTCTTCCTTTCTTTGCAATAATCTACTTCCCCCAACATTCTGTGATCCCTCTATCCCACGCTTAACCCCTCTCTTGCCAACACTTTCACTCAATTCCATACCTGTTTTACTGGCTCTGAAAATATGTAACCTTCAGTTAAGACATTGGTCCCTCACTCCTAAATTTGGACTGTTAAGGAAACTCACAAAACCAAATGACATCGGTGATGAACTATGTATTTCTTTTTCATAGTAAACTTGTTTTTACTCAGATTTTGAAAGGAAGTATGTATGTCTTTACTATCATAACCTCATTCACTTGAAAAATAAATATATTTGAAAAAAATGTGCATATATAACTCTCCATAACTATTAACTTAGTCTCTTTTTTTTTCTTTTTTCCTTAACATTTTATTTATTTATTTGAGAGGCAGAGTTAGAGACAGTGAGAGAGGGGGAGAGAGAGAGAGGTCTTCCTTCCATTGGTTCACTCCCCAAATGGCTGCAATGGCCAGAGATGCACCGATCCGAAGCCAGGAGCCAGGAGCTTCTTCCTGGTCTTCCACATGGGTGCAGGGGCCCAAGGACTTGGGGCATCTTCTACTGCCTTCCCAGGCCACAGCAGAGGGCTGGATTGGGAGAGGAGCAGCCTGGACTAGAACCGGTGCCCATATGGGATGCTGGCGCCGCAGGTGGAGGATTAACCCACTTTGCCACAGCGCCGGCCCCAACTGTTGTCTCAATTTCCTCTTCCTCCTGTCCTCTGTGGATTTTCTTACTGTGGGTATTTTAAATGAAATCACATAATACATAGCCTTCTGTGTGCTGTTTTTCACACAGCATAATATCTTCCATGTACTTCTGTGTTTTAGCAAGAATCAGTACGTCATTTTTTTTTTTTTAGGCTTATTTAACTTATTGAAAGGCAGAGTTACAGCGGAGGGGGGACACAGAGAGAGAGAGAGAGAGAGAGAGAGAGAGAGAGAGAGAGAGAAAGAGAGAAAGAGAGAAAGAGAGAGAGAGAGAGAGAGAGAGAT